CGCCACCGGTTAAAGGGTATCCCCCCCCGGTTAAAGGGTATCCACCACCAACCCAAAAACCGCCACCTGCAGGGCATCCTGCGCCGGTAGAGTACCCGCCACCGGTGAAAGGGTATCCACCTCCGGTACAGTACCCCCCACCAACCCAAAAACCACCGCCTGCAGGGCATCCTCCACCGGTAGAGTACCCTTCGCCTCCGTACAAGAAATATCCTCCGCCGGTTCAGTATCCATCGCCGCCAAGTGGGAAGTATCCGCCGCCGTCCGGTGGGTATTCTCCGGCGGAGCCGTAGTTAATTAACCATCGCCGCCAAGCTGCAAAGGACGTTGTTACTGACTAAAGCCATGTAAAACTTATGATGTATGTACGAAAGACAAGCTTTTACTATCCGTATGGATGAATGATGAATAAAGAACAACGTTCAGTACAGAACATGATTTTCTGGTCGTGTGTATATATATATATATATATATATATGTGTGTGTGAAAAGAATGGAAAAAAATAATCTTTGTGAATGAGAAAACATTTCAAGAGAAAAATTTATTTTCATTCTATATTATTTAATCAATTTCGTGATATTTTATCTTACTCTATTTCATTCAATTCCATATAATCTTTGTGATTGCTATTCAGAGTCTAAGGATGTTGTTAATTTATATTAATCTTAAGTTAGTTTTTGAAACGAGTAATTTGTAGATATAAAATCTGAAGAAAAAAACCTATATCTATTATCATAAATATGTTCTAGAAATTCTTTGGCTGGAGAATCCAATTTCTCTATTACATAAAATTAAAAGTTTTGTTTTTAAATAAATTAAAAAGCGGTCAAAAGAATACTCAAATATATATATATACAGGGTGAAAATATATTAAACACAATTATTTATATGAAGCAATCTGGACCGTTCCTTTTTATCAATCCGACGGTTGACATAAATTCTGCTTTGTGTAAAAATAAATAAGAGCAGAGGTTTAGTTTAGGCAAACCCTTTCCTTGACCGAAGCTGCTTGCTAACGAGAGAGAGACCGAGAGAGAGATGTTCTTCCACATAGTGTTGGAGCGCAACATGCAGTTGCATCCCAGATTCTTTGGTCGGAACCTACGAGAAAATCTCGTCTCCAAACTCATGAAGGATGTCGAGGGCACTTGCAGGTCCAGTTTCCCCTCTTCTTCTCTCTTTATTTTCCCGGAAAATCCCCTAGAAACCATCTTTTTAGGGAATGACTTACGGATGCGAAAAACCAGGAAACCCTCTTTGAGACGTCGGATCTTGTTTCTAAGGCTCGGTTCTATTTTAGTATTTGATACTAAAGGTCGAAGCTTTTGTAAGACGAGGAATCTTGAATTGATCGAAACCCTAAGTTCCTTTAACTGTAATCGGTGCCGTCTTGGTATGTGCTGGGATAAATGTATATATATACACGTAAATTGAATTGCTTGGCTGTTTCTGTACTGCCATCAATTCGAGAAAAATCGCGAATTTTGCCTCTCCGAGTTTTGCAAATAACCGAAATTTGTATATGTACAATACACAACTATTTGTATGAGGGCTGTTCTTATCGCCTTTGCTTCGGAGTAATATATTGCAGTTCATCCGGAATCACTGGTGCAACTCATTTTGATGCCTTGAGGAAATTTCCCGTTTTTTTCCCATTTGTTTCTTCAGTGGCCGCCATGGGTTTGTAGTGGCGATAACTGGAATAGAAAGCGTTGGAAAGGGTCTAATTAGGGACGGGACCGGGTTTGTCACGTTTCCAGTCAAATACCAATGTGTTGTATTCAGACCTTTCAAAGGCGAGATCTTGGAAGCTGTTGTTACTTTGGTCAATAAGGTATATCTAGTTATGTTTCTTCCTATGATGAGTTGGTTTATTGAGTTGGGGGTTTTGAGTGATTGAGATTTTCTAACATCTTTTTGCAGATGGGATTCTTCGCTGAAGCTGGTCCTGTTCAAATTTTTGTTTCCAAGCATGTGAGCTTATGACCCTTTGTGTCTGCTCAAGGATTCTGAGCTCTAACATTTTTCTGATGGACAAATTCTTGTGTAATGTTCGACTTCATTACCATTTCAATCGTGAAGTGTTTCAGTTAAGATGAATTCGGTTCATTTACAGTTGATTCCTGACGATATGGAGTTCCAGCCTGGAGACATGCCAAATTACACAACATCCGATGGATCGGTTGGTTTTTCTTCCTTTAGTCTGATCCTCTTAGTACTAGTTTTGTCATCCTTGTCAAAGAAATCAATATTCCATCGCTTCTTCTTGCAGGTTAAGATTCAAAAGGAGTGTGAAGTTAGGCTGAAGATTATCGGAACACGAGTAGATGCTACAGAAATCGTATGTATTATCATCTACCCACATCCTTAAAGTCTAGATTGATTTCAAAACTCCATTTCCCCTGATTCATGATACAGCTTACTGTTAGCTTTCAATTGATCATGGTATCCATAATCCATTGGTTATAACTTTAGCTATATGCTTTTCGGGCTATGATCAGTTATCTTTATCCCCATTGGCTTTACCTTGCATGCTGGTGGTTTCTGTTCCTCACTGATATTTCTAGCCTCTGATATCGGTCTTTTTGACGATAAACGAATACCCTTTTCCCCGATAAGAATATAACCGTTGATGGGTGTTCACCTATGTCCCTGACGTTTGTTTGTTTCTCGTTTTTTCTTTTGTAGTTTTGCGTCGGTACCATTAAAGACGATTTCCTGGGAGTCATAAACGATCCTGCTGCTGCATAAGGAACACTCTCAGTTCGGTATTCTCTTATCTCTGTTGGGAATGTCCTTTGACATCTGTTGTATAGTTCCATGATGTTTTGTTTAGATCTCTTCCATGGAACCATCCCCAACGGGATTGGCCATCTCCATAAGAACTATTATTCATTGATGAAACTCTACAGATTGTCTCAATGGTGAGGAGATGAGGTCTTGTCTGAATACAAGCAGCAAACATTAATCAGAACCGTGTTGAGTTCAAAACTCATAAGCACATATGCTTTTGCTTGAACATGTAAGGATACATATACAGATTGTAAAGGAACTGTACGGAACAACCCAACTGATGGCTGCGTTTAAATGGCGGGTCTGTCTTTCTTCAGTCGTCGTCTACGTACATCGTTTCTTGCTTGAAAAGTCCTCCCAACACTTTCCTCACCTCTTTCTTCTCCGGTTCTCTCTCCTTCTTTCCACGCTCTTCATTCTTCTTTAACGCAAAAGCACTTGCGAACGCTGGTTTCGCTTTTGCGTCTGCGTTTTCATTCGGTGGCTTCACTACCGCCTTCTTGGGCGTCAAGTTTCTGGCTTTGGCCTGTCCCCTGACCGTCGCGACCTGCACTTTTGGCGTCTCGGCGGCAGCGTTCTGAACCGCCGTTGTGATCTGAGACCCGAATTTATCCCATGAGATGCCCGAGCTTATGCCTTTGGCTCGGTTGATTAGGCCATCCATCGTGAATCCGGCAGCCTCGGCTTTCTGCTGAGCCTCCTCGGTTAAGGTCGCAGCCCCGGCTTCTTGCTCAGAGAGCTTTCTCGCCGCTTCAGTGGCCTCTCGGGCTTTCTCGGCCGCTATTCTCTCTTCTTCCTCGGCCTTCTCCTTCGCCGCGGCCTCTGCATATGCTTTTCTTCTCCCGTCCTCCGGTATTACACTGTCATATGTGTGTGTATATATATTACATCAGAAAAGTAGGTGTAAGTGTACGTTGGATCCATGAGTTCACTTGAACGTTTTCAGCATAAAGAAAAATGGTGTTCTTCCCCAATGTCGAGTTTCCGGTGTGTATTCGTTACCTGAAAAGCTCGTCCACGGACCGCGATGGAGCTGATGGATCCGTAAAAACTTCCACCACCTACACATTTGCCAAAGACGCATGTAACATCAAATCTAGGGATGACCAATTCGGTTAATAATCGAATGACATATAAGCCGTATCGATAGAACCGAAAGACTAAACCCGGATCAAACAAAAAAACTAACCGAAAAAACTGAAACTTTCTTTGAAAAAACTGAGTATTTTATCGATGGAAACCGAATCCGAATCGAATTCAATATAAAAGCCAAATGAATATAGTTTTTTTAAACCGAAATAAAACCCGAAACCGAAACATCCACTCTAAAATCCTCGTAATTTTTTTCCCCTTTGAAACAAAATCCAGATTATGATCACCTTATTCTCTGCAACTGCCGTGTTCGAGAAAACATCTGCCACCAATGATGCGATCTTCATCTTCCCCACCTGAAAATTATCATAGAGAAACACAGAATTAAACCCTAAACGCGAAACCAGTAAGTCAAGAATCCTGTCATGTTCGGACAAGAGCTCATATCCCTTTTTCTATCTCATACATTACATTACTTTGTACGCCACTGACGAATCACCGGCGTCGTTTCCGCTGCTCCCTTCGGCTGAAACAACTACGTTGTAGGAATTTTCCGGCGAGAAATCCTCCGTCAAGCTCGTCTTTATGAACGTATAGGCAACGTCCGTTCGGACAACACTCTCCAAAAACTCGGAGACCGTCAATGTCTGAGATCGAGCGAAGATGTTGTTGAAGAACGATGTGATTCCGTCCAGCACGTTGTATGTAGATCCCGTGACGTTGTCGTAGACGATTGCCACGTGGCTGACTCCGGCGAGTTCTGCGGCTTGAACCACGAGAAGTGCGTCTGACGTGGATACTACCGCGTCCGGACCGTTTTCCCCGTTTCCGACCGTCACTACTACCTTTGTCGCGTTTCCGATCGCCTTTGCGATTGATTCCGCGTCTTGGAACGTGGATTCTACCGCGTTTAGCCTTCTCGCCTCATCCTTTGATATCATCTGTTCAAATATTCAATCAAACGCTAAAAAAAAGCCGTTAGTGTCAGCGTCTACGCTAGAATTGCGATTGCAAATTCTTGAAAATTCAACACCACAACCACAATGGCACCACGAAATCCCATAGGAAGATTATTTATCTCTATGACGAGGAACAGTGCACATAGAACGGAGTCGGGCCTCTACGGGGGCAGAAATGTGATCGCTAAAACAGCGATTGGGATCAAAATTGCGATTGTGGGACTCGAAATCCCAATTGCAAACGCTCAATACACTCGCAGAGAACGAATGGGGGGGTTAAAACCGACCTTATACGTGGCAGCGACACGAGCGAGGTCCTGAGCGGCTCCGAGATCGGGAACGCCGGCTCGGACGCTGAACCCTTTCTGCAACAGCGTCTGAGCAATTCGTATACCGACTTGTCCAGTCGCACCGGCCACGAAAACCGTACCGGAATCTTTCCTCCGGTTATTACCAAACGCTAAACCGGTCGATGGGTTGTTCACCACCGGTATCAGCGACTTCACGTCCTGTAAATTCCCGAAGTTGAATCGGAAACCGCTCGGGGAGGACGAACTTTTGGGTTGGGAAGCTTCCGAGTCATCCTTATTCGTCTTCCCAAGCTTAATCGAGGCTGGTTTGGCGGCAAGGATTAAACTCGGCTTTCTCCGGTTAAGCCTGGTACGCTGCGTCGGTGCGGTGGTTAACGGGAATGAATTGGAAGCCATGGGAGACCGGCAAGCTTGGATTCTTGCTTGTGTCTCAAGTAACCAATGGCTAAGCCATACACTGACGATGAGACAACGAGCGTTCGATTTCGTTGTTTGTGTTTCCGGATATGATCTTGATGGATAACTAGCCAATAAAATCATGCCACGTCATCAATATATCTCGATCTACCGTCTTCTGGACTGGTCTCCACAGAATCTCGATAGCGGGGGTCCCATAAGCTCAAGACTCTACGAATCTACGATTTTAATTTTAACCCTTCTATTTTCAAGAATTTACATGTTTACCCGTACCTTTTGGTAAGCCCTTGTTTGGGCCGGGCCTATAAGTATTTTAATGGGCCATTTCAACGGCGCCGTTTTGGGGAAATCTTGCCGCCGACTTCCACAATCTATCACAAGCTTGTCTCAGTTTCATCTAACGGTGACGAGGCTAGAGGAAAGGTTTCGAGTGCTTGGAGATGATGCCACGTGGATTTGTCTGATAATATATCGGATGCAAACCTATTTATATTCCGATCTTGGTTTTTTCTTCGTCATTCGTCTTCTTGCATCCTTTGCTCGTTTTCGACATTCCTGGATTTATCTCATGCTCTTTTGAACCTCGGGTTTATAGTCACCTGGAATTTTTCCCGAGGAAATCTTCGTTTCTCCTTTTTCAAAAGTGAGTCGGTGGGAAATTGAATCGGGGAAGCTCCAGAAATGGCCGCCTCGACCACGACCAGCGCCGTCTACATCCACGTCATCGAGGATGTCATCAACAAGGTCCGAGACGAGTTCGTCAACAATGGAGGACCAGGAGAAAGTGTTCTTAACCAGCTTCAAGCTGTAAGTCGAACGTTTCAGTGGTTCTTCCGCTTCCGAGTACAGATCCTGAAAAATCATCTCTCTCGGTTCTTGGGTCATTTACTGCTCGTCGATCTGTTTGATTTCACTAGATCTATGGAATATATCACGAATTTGAATAATTTTTTAGTGGATCTGGGTACTCTACTTGTTTCTACATGGATAATTTGTTCAGCTGAAAGCTAGGGTTTTAGGAAATTTTGGGGATTCGGAGCTGAGAAATTGCAGATTCCGGTGATGCAAATAAACTCTGTTACACAGATTTGGGAAGATAAGATGATGCAAGCTGGAGTTATAAGCGGTCCGATAGATAGGTCTTCTGCTCAGAAGCCGACACCAGGAGGGGCATTAACTCCCATGCACGATCTCAATGTACCGTACGAGGGAAATGAGGAGTATGAGACTCCAACGGCAGAGATGCTTTTTCCTCCTGTGAGTTTGCTCTATTGGACAAAGTTTCATCTTCCTTTGCTTGTTGGTTTTGGATTTGATAAATGGGTTTGGTTCGACTTTAACAGTTGAAGCTTCTTGTTTTCTGTGAAAGCAGACCCCTTTGCAGACCCCTGCTCCTACTCCTCTCCCTGGAAGTGCTGATAACTCAATGTATAATTATCCCACTCCTGCGATTGAAAATGGTATTAACAATGATGTTAAAGGTCCCAGGCCTAGTCCATACATGGTGAGACTTAGCTGCTTGTCGAAGCTGTTCTTTTGGTTTGAAAACTATTTCTGCAGTCCATCCATGTCACACCCATCTTCCAACTGTTCCACTTTTGGTGGGATAATGTTTTATGGTTGTTTTGTAGCAAACTCCTTCTCCATGGGCAAATCAAAGGCCACTCAGTGTTGATGTCAATGTTGGTAAGTAATGTATCTACCGAACTTCGCTTTGCCTGCTGCTAGTGCTAGTCTTAGTATTTCATTGATGATTGTTCTTCTGTACTGTAGCTCCTACTGAAGGACGGGAAGATGTGGACAGAGGAACCTCCAGCCAACCACTGTCACAGGTGCTTTCTGCATCTTCATGTCTGGAAATCGCATGAAATGGACCGTTTCTGGTTCGACAAAAGCTGATGCCAGGCTTTACAATCAGTTAAAAACTGAGATGGAGATGATTTCTGATGTTTGCACATGTTCAGGACCTCGTGATGTCTTCTGGAAAGAGAAAACGTGATGACTTTTCTGGGCATTACTCAAATGGTGGATATATACCCCAGCAAGATGGAGCCAGAGATGATGTCCCAGATGTATGTTGTCTTGTTCATCTAATAAGTATCTACACTTAGATCTTTATCACTATGGTTTATGTTTTGTTAATCAGTGGTATAAAAAAAAGGTCTGAAGCTGAGTTAGTATAACAAATGGTTCTATGTTGAAGAATTTGAATGCTGTAAATTGACAGGTAAACCATCCCCTTGGTTTACCTTGTGAGGGAAATACTGATAAGCCATTATGTCTACAGATCCAGTCAACTTTGACAAAATCTTCTTGGAAGATTCCTCAAACGGATGGGCCGATTCCTGATATTTATGATGAAATGCTTTCTACACCCAATGTAAGTTCATCTGTTCGACATGTATTAAAAGGGCGATGTGAACTTGTATTTGGCTTGTGAAATGTAGTTATGGTAGACAAAAATATAAGGTGATAGAATTTGATAACTCATTTCGATAAAGGACCGTAGCTATCTCAGATATGGCCTGTATGTGTCTTAAAATATTTAGGCACATGAGCGTATATTGTTGCGAAATTTCCAAGACTTATTCCTGGGCTTCATCTTACCTTTTCCCTTTTCTACATTGTGAAGATTTACAATTACCAAGGAGGCAACGAAGACTATAACATCGTCAACACCCCTGCTCCAAACGGTATCATCTCATATTTTCTTTTCATAATGCTATCAAATTCGCCTTGTTTCCTCCAAACTCACTTGCTGCAGCTCCTTGTCGTGATTGTTGTTTACCATAGAATTACCCGCAAACACTCCGGTTCCTGTACAAAACGAAAGGAAGGAAGAAGAAGAAGACGATGATGATGACGAGATTCTGAATGAAGATGATGATGACGAAGAAGACTTGGATGATATTGATGGCGAAGAGGATATGAACACACAACACTTGGTCCTTGCTCAGTTCGACAAGGTTATCCAACTTGTCCTAATCACAATTTTTTTACAACGGTTGGACCGACTTGTTATTTTTTTTCAACTGAACTCTCTCTGTCAGGTGACTCGCACCAAGAGCCGGTGGAAGTGCACGCTCAAAGATGGCATAATGCACATAAACAACAAAGACATTCTCTTCAACAAGGTCCCGTAGTTTTTTTCAAGGCCTATAATCCCAAATGCACACAATAGGCAAAAGCTAAAAAAGAAAATGTTCAGATTCATTTGCCATTTTCGTCTTTTTTAAGCGTTCGTGATCGTGTTCTGTGCAGGCCACGGGAGAGTTCGACTTCTAGTGTGGAGATCTGGGAGAGGTTTTCTTCTGTTTGCTCTGTTGTGTAGTAATCTACTCTGGTACCTCTTTTGAGTTTATTTGTCTATCCCTCGTATGCTGTACATAAAGAAAGAGAGCCTCTTCGCTTTAGGAGGGTGAATAATGAATATATACATACATATCCTGAGTCCGTCTTATTATAGGGTTTGGTCTCTGTTAAACGACCGCAACACGTTCACGAATCAGAACATCCTATATTTAATGTAACTGCCATTCAGTTTTCGTTTTTGTCTGGTTTCAGACAGGGTGTTTAGTTTTCGCTTCAGTCATATTTTTATTTCGATATTTGGTCCGATTATCATGGCAATTTGTTCCGTCTTAGATTAATGCGAAAGTTACATGACAGTATAATCTTTTTCTTTTTTTCTTTTTACATGGAAGAACTCTCTTCCATAGACTAGTATTTCGGGTTTAATATATATATATATATATATATATATGTATATATTGTTTTTGTTCAGTTTTGCATTCGTTTTTCATTGAACAAATTATTCGTTTTTTTAAAAAAAATTGTTTTGTTAAATTCGATTTTTGGTTTTCAAAAATAGGTTTTTTCAGTTTTAAAATTATTCGGTTGAGATATCAACCGGTAAATGCCCTGCCCTCCTTTAGCCTTCATTTTAAATTCAATAAAAAAAAAAGGATAAAAATAAATTCAAATTTCAGATGTCGTTAAGACAACCACACGGTGGTTTATTTGGAAAAAAAAATCAAGAATCCAGGGATAGATAAACCACCGAATTCTTGGGAGAATCTTCAGGCTTCAGTTCTCTCTCCCCGATCATGGCTTCCACTGTTTCAGTTCAGTCCCACTTCATCCCCAGATTCTTACATCCAAATCGATCGAAGAGCCCTAAACGTCGTACCTTCTCCTCGTGTTTCAACTCAAGTCCTGACCCCTTTTGCCTCCTTCTCAAGGAACCCACTTGCCTGATTTCCGAGCCGCGCTCAATCACTAAGCAACATCAAAGATTCCGGGTGAGGGAAAACACGAACTCGCTGTTTTCTCGATTTGGTTCCGTTTCTGGGTTTTTTCTTGATTTTTTCCTGTTTGGTTCTTTTGGACAGACCCGAGTTCGGACGAGAAGGGAGTTCGCTGATGGTGGAGAAGAACCGGGCTCGCTTGCTTCTGATGCATCAGAGGCCTTTTCATGGTCTTCTGTGATAATTCCGTGAGTTGTGGTCTGGATTCATTTTTTATTTGAGTAATTTGACCGTTGTAGTTTTGTCGATTTGGCATGTTGCATGATCTTGGCATTATGATTTCTTAGGTAGTTTTCAACTGCTAGTTATGTCTAATGTACTATCTGAAGTCAAGCAGGGACTGGTCGGAAGGATCATCAATCAGTATGTTATGGAAATGGCTGACTGAAGTTTTACACTGATTTAACAGGAAATTGCTTTCCTTTTAGGTTTTTATTCCCGGCATTGGGGGGACTATTGTTCGGGTATGATATTGGTGCCACCTCTGGTGCCACCATCTCTCTGCAGGTTAGTATCTATTGTTACCCTCCTCCGTTCATCTGAACATGTAATCCGCTTATATCTGTTATGTATCTGCTTGATAATGTAATCCTTTGTACTCTCATACGATGCTGAACAGTCACCCGAGCTTAGTGGTACTGCCTGGTTTAACCTTTCACCTGTTCAGCTGGGACTTGTGGTATGCTATCTGGAAATGATTTTCGAGATTTATACGGTTGATCGAAGAAAAGGTGATCTGTAATGCTATTTGTTGTGTAGGTTAGTGGATCCTTATACGGTGCCCTTTTTGGGTCGCTTCTTGTCTATGGCATTGCTGATTTCCTTGGTAAATTTGCTTGCTTTCTGTCCATCCCTATCTTGTTTTTTTTTCCTTCAAAATACTTTTGTTGCAAATGCTTCATTACTGAATCATGAGTTTGCTGTAAAGGGAGAAGGCGAGAACTTATCATAGCTGCTGTTCTCTATCTGCTTGGTTCCCTTGTCACTGCCTGTGCCCCTGATCTTGGTATTCTTTTATTCGGAAGGCTTCTTTATGGCTTGGGCATTGGCATGGTGAGCTTTGGAAACCTCAAGTCCATTCTTGTCGGGTAATCAGTCCTTTTTGTGGTTGTTGTATTCCAAGTGATTTCTAATTGGTTTTGTTTGGCAAGGCAATGCATGGTGCTCCTCTCTATATAGCTGAGACTTGTCCATCTCAGATCCGTGGAACTCTAATATCACTAAAGGAGCTGTTTATCGTGTTAGGAATTCTGGTAATTTTCTGAGATTCTAATGTCATAGTATTCTATCTTCATCGCTGAAATAATCGTTGGTTGCTTTACCTTCTCTGCAGTTGGGTTACTTTGTTGGAAGCTTTACGATTGATGTAGTTGGAGGGTGGCGATACATGTATGGAGTTGGTTCTCCTGTTGCTTTGCTGATGGGGCTAGGCATGTGGAGCCTCCCTCCATCTCCACGCTGGTTACTTCTTAGGGCAGTCCAGGGCAAAGGCTCTTTACAAGAATACAAAGACAGGGCCATGCTTGCCCTCAGCAAACTGCGTGGTAGGCCTCCGGGTGATAAAATGTCCGAAAAACAAATAAACGATGCCCTTTTGTCTGTGAAATCTGCCTACGAAGATGAACAATCCGGAGGAAACTTCCTGGAAGTGTTTCAAGGGCCTAATTTGAAAGCTTTGATAATTGGTGGAGGTTTAGTCCTTTTCCAGCAGGTAATTCTTATCCATTGTTGGAGTTTGGGAGAATATGTAAGTTCCTTTTTCTGACCTCTGCTACTTCCCTGCATGATTGTGACAGATAACTGGACAACCAAGCGTTCTTTATTACGCCGGTTCCATTCTTCAGGTATACGATTGGCTAAGATCTAGCCTTAACTTCACCAAATGTATGAGATTACCTTTTGAGTGTTGTGGATCATCTTGTGATATGTTGTGATGACTTCTCCATTCAAAGAGTGCTGGATTTTCTGCGGCTGCTGATGCAACCCGAGTTTCTGTCATTGTTGGTCTCTTCAAGGTACTCATTTCATTCCAGCTCTGGGAGCATATTTATTTTATTAACGTGCTTCCGCATTTGCATTTGGACATCTTCACCCTTCTTATGCGTCCTTTACCCCGTACAGTTACTGATGACATGGATAGCTGTTGCGAAAGTTGATGATATTGGAAGACGACCTTTACTGATTGGAGGTGTCAGTGGCATTGTATGTATACCTGTTTTCATCTGAACCATCAAAATTTAGTACACACGTGTTCTGTTAATCGAGTGAAAAAAAAAGAGAATTATTTCTTAATCCTCTTCTTTACATGTGCAAAATTCCAGGCTCTGTCTTTATTTCTACTTTCAGCATATTACAAGTTTCTCGGAGGCTTTCCTCTTGTCGCAGTTGCCGCACTTCTTCTCTATGTTGGTTGCTACCAGGTTGGTATCATATATTTCATCACCAGCTGCAGCTGCACAATTTTGTATAGCTTGGATAGAAGAAAGAGACCATAGCAAAATGTTCAAGAACTGCAAACTTAGACGATACATCCACAAGACAGGTCTGGATGAAGTTACTATAAAGAGTGTTATTTTCCCTTTGAATTTCAGATTTCTTTTGGACCCATCAGCTGGTTAATGGTATCTGAGATTTTTCCACTCCGTACAAGAGGGAAAGGTATTAGCTTGGCAGTTCTCACTAACTTCGGCTCGAATGCTGCTGTGACCTTTGCATTCTCACCCTTGAAGGTATCTTATCAGTTTCACTCCGTCAACATTTACGGTAATCGCTATTGACCTCTGCAAATTCTACAGGAATTGCTTGGCGCAGAGAACCTTTTCCTTCTCTTTGGAGCCGTAGCGCTGGTATCATTGTTGTTTGTTATTTTAATTGTTCCTGAGACAAAAGGTCTTAGCTTGGAAGAAATCGAATCCAAGATCTTGAAGTGAAATGTTGTAACTTATGGTTGAATATAGTAATGTTACCATTATGTGTCTGTCCTACACGAAATAGTATGGTGTTGGCATACATTTTTCTTTTTACTCAAATATAAATGAGATATATATTTATCGTTTTCTCTGGGAACACCTCAGTTGTCACAAAATTTTTGTTAGGTATAGTGCTTGGTTAAGCAGTAAGCTAGGTTATGTGGATTTGTTTCTGGAACTGAAGATCACAGAGAGGTACACTTTGAGGTTGTCGGAAGTTAAGCCAGAGGTCTTTTTCTTTTCTTTGTATTCTAATCTAAGTGACTCAATTGATGGTCTAATTTGTTTAAACTTATCTTTCCTGGTTTGATTGAGTTTGTAAGAGAAATGGTAAACACTATCTCCCTGTTTCAGATTATGGTACCTAAACTTCTACTAGCCAGACGAAAACATGGGCTTGAGGAGTTGATAGCTGATACCATCAGGACAAGCAACGACAAGTTTAGCTCACATCAGCCTATGTAAGTAAAATACAAGAATGCTTCTTACTTTCTCTCAGAAAGTTTCTTTTTAATCCTTCCTTCATTGATTCCTGTCTCGCAGCTACTGTTTTCCCAGTTTATTTCACTGAAATGATAAGTATGCATTCCGTAAATATGCTTCAAGGAATTGTGACGAGATTGCTGCATGCTCTGGTGTAGCCATAGTCAGTTTCGCTCTTGCTGTTTTCAAAATAATGGGCAAGTACCCTAAAATAACTTCACATTCAAAACATATGTCTTATAAAAGACATATTAGCTGAAGAGGAACTGGTTGCTGGCATTCTCGGCCGGTGTTTCACTGCTTAAAGTGGATATACCAATTCCAGCAATATCGAAAGATATGTCTAGAAAAATCCACATTCTGTTTCAGGCGTTATTTGACCTTTACAAGGTTAATTTTCGGGGAGACTCTGTGAACACAACATATGTCTAGCTTTGAAACCAGCTCGGCCTCCTCAGCTACAAAGTTTCCTTCTAGTTTACTGTCAACAGTATCAAGTAAGCTACCTCTTCTCTGGCGAACTAGCCATACCCACTTCACCAGAATTATCTGTTTAGGTGGTATATGTGGATTTACGGGTCTTCGTCTCAGAGAGTTACTTCATTTTCTCAATTTTTTTTTAATTGTGTCTCATAGTTTTTGCTTTCTTTGTGCTTACATTGACATGATGAGTATGCATGCTGCAGATTTGCTTCATGGCAACTAGGTTGCTGTTGGATGAAGACGCAGAGTAAGTCCCTTCCTGCTGCTTTCAAACAAAAAACAGCTCATCCTAATTACAATTAGCTCACATTTGAAAGGTACAATCTTGTTACAGGCTCCAAACACTTGCTTATACACACACAACAATCTGGGGTGCTGGCTTCAGCGACCACCAAATAAAACGGTAACAGTGTCGAATGAGAAATTTGCTGATGAGGAAGTGGTTGTCAGCATTGTTGTTGGTGCTTCAATGCTTATAGAGGGTATACCAATTTCTGCAGTCTCAAATGATATGTCTGGAACTGTGGCATTTCCTTCCAGGTATTGTATTATCTGCCTCATGGTAGGTCTATTTTCTGGGGTATTCTGTGAACAAAGCAGGCCTAGCTTCAAAACCATCTCAACTTCCTCAGGTACACGGTTTCCTTCCAGTTTATTGTCAACTGTATCCAGCAAATCGCCTCTTCTCCAACAACTGGTAACCCACTTAACTAAAATCATCTGCTCAGGTGGCCTTTCTGGGTCTACTGGCCTCCTTCCACAAACCACCTCAAGCATGAAAGCTCCAAAAGCATAGACATCAGTCCAAGTAGTGGCTAGTCCCATTGCAGTAAGCTCGGGAGCCATGTAGCCGATGGTTCCCACCACACGAGTGACTTGGAGATTTGTGCCACGGTCGTGGAATCTAGCAAGGCCGAAATCTCCTAGACGTCCATTTAGATCAGAGTCTAGGAGAACGTTGCTGGCCTTGATATCTCTGTGCAGTACAACTTGTTCCCACTCTTCATGCAGATAAAGAAGGGCAGAAGCTACGCCCTTGATGATATGAAAACGTTGAGACCAGGTGAGGTCTTGTGGGTTCTCTCTGTTGAACAAGTAGTCATCAAGGCTTCCATTGGGCATGTAATCATAGACCAAGAGCAATTCTCCTTTCCTTCTGCAGTAACCAAGGAGCTGAACCAAGTTCTTGTGCCTCAGTCTTCCCATACTGACAATTTCAGCCACATACTGTCTCATTCCTTGTTCTGCCTCATGTGATACTCTCTTAACCGCGATTTGAGTACCGGAAGGGAGTTCTCCTTTGTAGACTTTTCCAAAGCCTCCTGCTCCAAGGAGCCTACTTTCTTTGAAACCTTTTGTTGCTTTGTAGAGGGTCCTAAAGGAGAGCCTTTGAGGGCTATATTCCTTCTCCCATTGTTCGAGAACTTCCTCATACTTCTTTTTATGGTAAAAGTAAAGAGCTGCTCCTACTATCATCAGAAAAGCTACTGCTGATATAGAAGCAACCGTGATTGTAACCACAGGGGTTGGAGGTGGAGGTGAAGGAGGGGGAGGTGGAGGTGAAGGAGGGGGAGGTGGAGGTGAGGATGGGGGAGGGAGATTAGGAATCTTTGATAGGTCAAGGCTTTCAGCTATTCCACCTTTCTTGAAACTCCATCCAAGGATATATTGATCACTTTTGATTGTTCCCGTGGAACCAGAGAAACCGATGAACATCTTCCCTAGGAAAATTTCTGAGAGATTGATGGATTTCGACAAGAGAGGCAAACTTGGTTTGATGGTTCTTGACAAAATAGACGCATTGAATCTCTGAGTTGGGATTGGAGCCAACGTTACATTTAACAGTTTATCAGCATCATCGTATTCTATCCAGATGAGAGTACTTAATCCACTAGCAAGCACCAGACTTTCGTTCTTCCCTTCTGTATAAGAAAAGTAACTAGCATTGGCAGAATCTATGGAGACTATACTGTTTACATCAATCCCAACGTGGTTATCACTTATATCGTCTTCTTCAGGGCTTCTATTAGTGTCGAGCTCAACGGCTAGGATATGGTTTTCCGTTTTATTATCGGTTGACCTATTGAAAAGCCCTAAGTATGAGGTTGGACCACCATACCTCAAGTCTGTGGACGGGGATACCACAAAAGCCATTCCCTGGCCTCGGCTTTCCACCTCGGGGATGAGAGCAAACACGAATTCCGTGGAGAAGGATAGTGATTGTGATGAACTGGAGGATGAAGTATTGAATTCGATCGGGAAGTTGTAGAAAGCGTGACCGGTACTCTGTGTTGAATCATTTGTAAGTTTCAAGATGCCACTGGGAAAGATTGTCGCCATTCCATCAATAGACAGGTTTGCCTTCCTGAAGTCATAGTACACAAACTGATCTCCATCTTGACCAAACACCGAGGAGATAAAGTATGCTGAGATTATTATCCAGAAAATCTGTGATCTGAGAGATATCTCCATGAGTAACAGCGAAACAAAGGTGTGATATCTTCTCTCAGATGGCTTCTCAATCTTAGATTGTTGCATAAATTTGTGAAGAAATTTCAGAGAACCAAAGAAAACCTGAGTTGACCCTTACATGGAAGAAACTCTCCAAGGAAAAACTAATATATAGTATAGTCCCACATATTTTATATAAATGAGATGACCAATATATATGTCATGATTCAGACATTTCTTTCATTGATGCAGGGCTGTCCTTCAAGACTCGTTTTTTATACCGTGCTCTCAATTATGTTTGAGCTGTCTTATTGTGGCGTGTCGCTTTCTAGCTTATGGTTATAGTTATTAAACTGGATGTTTCAGGGTTTATGTATATATTCCCATGGTGGTCTTGACTTTCTCCGGGTTTCAAATTACCAGTGGTGTGCTAGAGAGATGTTTTGAACCAGTCAGGAGGAATGTTTTGTTTTGGAGTTGGTTCTGTGAGTCTCTAGGCATTATCTTATCTTCAGGGATTTAAATAGTGGTTTGAAGTAGTCGTTGGAGAGCAATTTGTGTTATTTTTTTTCATATGACTAAGATGATAGTGAGATGTATAGTCTTTAGATTAATACACTGTGGATCAACTTATTTTCCTCTCTCCATGCCCAAGTTTTTCTGAGGAAGTCCTTTCTGCTGGTGACTTGGGAGCTTTGGAACTTGAAGATATTTTTAACTTTGAAAAAAAGAAGATTTTTGACTAGTATTGTGATGCTGGGGCATTTCTGGTTGTCTTACATGTTGAATCTGATCTATCCCATTGAAGATGAATGCAGGGTACAGCTGAATATCCTTTTTGAAAATTTGGAGGGTTTAATCAGGGAATCTGGCCACTCCCGATGCCAAGAAGCCACAAGGTGTTGGGTTTCTTAGTCTATGTTTCAGAGACCATCCCACTACATTAGCTTCTGTTCCGTGCAACTCACTGCCATTAAACCCTTTTGGCGGCTGGCTTTGTAAGAGAATCTTCTTCCCATTCCTCAATTCAAACTATCTGAATCTACCTTGAGATGGGGACTTGTCTGAATTAACATCCTCAAAGCCATTTGTCTACGTTTGGTGGTTTTTGTGTTTGTAGGCAAATGACTTGCTGGCCACTTTCTTCATACAGGAGGTCAACTCTATTACCTGGCGGACCATTTTCCCTTTTTGTTGTAAAATGTTCATACACTCTCTTTCTCTCTTGCAGTGCACAGAGAGCGGAGGAGCAAATGCGTGTGATGTTCCACACGTGCAAATCTCTCTCTGCAGTTTCTTACTCACGCCCTGCACTTGCGTGTTGTTTTTATGTAACATAAACGACAACCATTTCATTGATAAAACTGAGAAACGGATGGCTTTCTACAAATGAAGGATCTCTCCCCCCACATTAACGCAAAAGTACACAGTAAACACAGACAGACTTGTTATTGCCGAAACCAAAACCTCCCTTCTCTCTAAAACCTTATCCTCCTCCGCCATGGCCGCCTTCTCCGCCAACGGTCATCTCATCCCGGCGGCGACTAGCTCCGGCGCCGCAACTTCACTCTCCTCCCGCCGGAAATTCACCTCCTCCTCTTCACGCGCCCCGCGCCTCCCGACACCGTCCCCTCGCACCCCATCCTTGAAATGCTGCAGCAGCTTACCTACTCGAGACACAGAGCCATCGTCGAAGAATTCTATCCTTAATTCACTGAAGAAGCCTCTAGCCGTCGCATCCGCCTCCTCTGCCATTTCCTTCCTTCTCCTCCGAACCTCGCCTCTCATCTCGATCCTGACCGGCGGCGGCGGAGGAGACAATGGAAATTTCGGAGGTTTTGGGGGAGGAGGTGGCGGTGGCGGCGGAGATGGAAATGACGGTGGATTCTGGAGGGAATTGTTTTCTCCTGCGGTGGCCGTTGCGGATGAAGAACAGTCGCCGGATTGGGATTCTCATGGGTTACCAGCGAACATCGTGGTACAGTTGAACAAGCTTAGTGGTTTCAAAAAGTACAAGATCTCTGAGATACTCTTCTTTGACCGACGGAGACAAACCACTGTTGGCACGGAGGATTCTTTCTTCGAGATGGTCTCGATCCGACCAGGCGGTGTGTACACTAAAGCCCAGTTGCAGAAGGAGCTCGAAACCCTAGCTACTTGCGGAATGTTTGAGAGAGTCGAGATGGAAGGGAAGACGAAGCCCGATGGAACCCTAGGTGTCACAATCTCCTTCACGGAGAGCACATGGCAATCAGCGGAGAGGTTTCGATGCATCAACGTGGGGCTAATGCCTCAGTCGAAGGCGATAGAGATGGATCCGGACATGACGGATAAGGAGAAAATGGAATACTACAGGAGCCAGGAAAAGGACTACAAGCGGAGGATTGACCGGGCAAGGCCGTGTTTGCTTCCCGGAGAGATTCACGGCGAGGTTCTGCAGATGCTGAGGGAACAAGGGAAAGTCAGTGCGAGGCTGCTTCAGAGGATTAGGGACCGAGTTCAGAAATGGTACCACGATGAAGGGTACGCTTGTGCCCAGGTCGTGAATTTTGGGAATCTGAACACAAAGGAGGTTGTTTGTGAAGTTGTGGAAGGAGACATAACTCAGCTGGTTATCCAGTTCCAAGATAAGCTCAGTAATGTGGTTGAGGGTAATACCCAGACTCCTGTCGTGCGCAGGGAATTGCCCAAACAGGTATGTGTAAGAACCGGGCTCTGGTATCTTTGGTGGTCTCACATGTCTAAGAAAATGTAGCAATCCGAGTTGTGCCTGCAAACTGATAGTGGTAGCAAAAATTAGTGAATTGAAGTGGGTGATTTGCAAATAAAGTAAAAGTCAAAAGCTTTACCTAGTTTCGATCATTATCTTCCACTTTGGCCTGTGTGGTTCTTTCAGGTTATGGGCTTGTGACGAAATGTTTCCTTTATGCATAGTTATTGTATGTATCTGTTGTTCTTAGTTTGGTATTGGCTTCTTTTTGTGGTTGGCAGCTCCGCCAGGGATATGTTTTCAACATTGAAGCTGGCAAACAAGCACTCAGGAACATTAACTCCTTGGGACTGTTCTCCAATATCGAAGTCAATCCACGTCCAGATGAGAAAAATGAAGGGGGAATTATCGTGGAGATCAAGCTTAAGGAGTTAGAACAGAAATCGGCCGAAGTCAGTACAGAATGGAGTATTGTCCCTGGGCGTGGAGGAACTCCTACGCTGGTATACTTCTTAAGTCACCCGGTTTTACTAGAAAATTCACAGTTCATGGATCTAAAACTTAAGGACAAAATTTCCACTGAATATTTATCCTTTGTAATTGTTCATCTTGCACCAGGCTTCATTGCAACCAGGAGGGTCTGTTACTTTCGAACATCGGAACATCCAGGGTCTAAATAGGTCTATCATGGGTTCAATAACCACTAGCAACTTCTTAAATCCTCAGGTAAATTTGGTTGGCATATGTTTCTGATGCATGTTTTTTTTTTAAACATGGTTGGGTCAACTTTAGTTTGATCCATCTTGAGCTTGTCTGCCTTCTAAGAGGAGTCATGCCTTGTGACCATCTTTTCTTTTTTCTTCAGGATGATCTTTCATTTAAGCTTGAGTATGTCCACCCATACTTGGATGGTGTTTACAATCCTCGTAACCGAACCTTCAAGACGAGCTGCTTTAACAGCCGGAAACTTAGCCCGGTATTCACTGGAGGACCAGGTGTTGAGGAAGTGCCTCCTATTTGGGTTGATCGAGCTGGTGTCAAAGCTAATATAACCGAGGCAAGTAGCAAATGTTACTACTTCTGTCATGAATTCCTTTCCCGTACAAACACCTTAATCAGCACCTACAAGCTCTCCGTAATCAAACCAACCTTATTGTCTTGCAGAATTTCACCCGCCAGAGTAAGTTCACATATGGAATCGTGATGGAAGAGATAACAACTCGGGATGAAAGCAGTCATATTGCTGCAAATGGTCAGAGATTGTTGCCTAGCGGAGGAATCAGTGCGGATGGACCTCCAACAACTCTCAGCGGTACTGGTATTGATCGTATGGCCTTTCTTCAAGCCAATATCACCCGTGACAATACCAAGTTTGTGAATGGGGCTGTTGTTGGGGAGAGGAATGTCTTTCAGGTTTGTTTACTTAACTTACCGAATGATCATCAATTACTATAATCTTTGCGATTCATTTCATCTATATACACGTATTACATGGCGGAAAATATGAAACGTCAGGTGGATCAAGGGCTGGGTATCGGGAGCAATTTCCCGTTCTTCAACCGTCACCAGCTGACAATGACGAGATTCATACAGCTGAAGGAAGTAGAAGAAGGAGCAGGTAAGCCATCGCCACCGGTGCTAGTCCTTCACGGGCATTATGGGGGATGCGTAGGTGACCTCCCGAGCTATGATGCATTTGTCCTCGGTGGCCCATACTCTGTCCGGGGTTACAACATGGGCGAGCTTGGTGCTGCCAGAAACATCCTCGAGGTAACAAAATAACTTGAAAACAAGGAATGAGAGCTGTCCTAAAACGGTATTTGGGTATTAACGAGCAAAGATGGGAATGGCAGGTGGGAGCAGAGATAAGAATACCGGTGAAGAGCACGCATGTGTATGCATTTGCGGAGCATGGGAACGACCTGGGGAGCTCAAAGGACGTGAAGGGGAACCCGACGGCAGTGTACAGGAGGATGGGGTATGGTTCATCGTACGGAGTGGGACTGAAACTTGGACTGGTTAGAGCGGAGTATGCGGTTGATCACAACAGTGGTACGGGTGCTGTCTTCTTCCGGTTTGGCGAGAGGTATTAGAGACGATGGAACTTATTCAAAGGTAAGAGCTTTGACTTGATGTGTGGATTTGATGGAATGCGGCCATTGAGAAAGAACACCTCTTTTTAGTTTTTTTGGTTAAGGCAGAGCAGCGTTTTATATCATCACCCTCTTTCTCATCAGAGACTGGTTGTGAGTTCAGAGTTTGCGGTCTGGTTACTTACATATCATCCTTTCTCTTCTTATTAATAAGTTTTCTTTTATGTGCCTTTCTTGTTTTACATTGCTGATGGGTTTTTTGGGGGCAAAGAATGCACATCATCTAAGTTAACATTGGGGTCACCACATGAGATCCTCTCTTTCAGCTAAAGGTTTGGACACCACATGTTTTACATATATCATCAATTTCTGTCAGGGGTGGCTATTTTTAGATTTCGGGTTCGGTTATTCTAATTATTATAAAAGCTATAATTATTCGGTTTTATTATTAACTTTGGATTAGTTCGGTTTTGTTTTGATTATGTTCGGATTTGGTTTTTTATTAGTAAAAATTCAAATTTTCAAAGAAAATTGTTGGATTTTTCGGGGGTATTTGACTCGATTCGGATTCGATTTTTTCAAATTTAGTGAAGTTATAACCATTCGATTTTTATATTAGATTCAGTTTGATTATGGTTATGTTTTATTCGATTCAATGTTAATAACCAAAATGTAAGCATGTATACTCTAATTTCTACTACTCTCTCTCGTTAACCCCTACATATACCGCGTGTCGATATAATTCTCAGATATTCATATATTCAACAGTCTTTCTCATTCATTTCTTTGCAAAATTAAATTGTGTAATAATTTTAAAACAAATCAAATGAGGTTTTTATTTATCTATACTCAAGTTGAAGCGTAAATCCTTTTTCGTTGCAGTCAAGAGAAGATGAAACTTTAAGAATTCCCATGAGGGGTATGGAATATTAGAATAATTCTATCATAAAAACCCAGCTTTTAAAAATTAATTTTAAAGGGTAAAAAGCTTATTTTAAAATATATTTACTTATTGGCGCAAAAGAAATATTCGTTCGCCTTTTTTTCCTGCGGAAAAATTAATTATATACGAGGAATAACGATGAACGTTGAGTCACGCGCCTCTGACGCCGAAATCAGCTAAATCATCGGATTTGGGAAGGTAGTCCAGCGAAATCGGGGAGGTGGAGTTCACGCGCATGTCCTGCGAGTGGGATTCCTTCAAATGACACGTCGAAATTTTTAACGCGCGGCCCAATACTAAAAAGGATGGCCCAATGCGTATTATTATAGGCCTAATATATCTATTGTAGGCCCACTAGATACATATTATATGGACCCATCATACAAATACATACACTGAATCAAACAATGTATGCCTTTTCTATAATAAATGGAGAAAATACAATTGAATTGCTCCCAACACAAGCAAGTGTGAGTGCGTAATGCACCTAACCTTAACACAAATATGAACAGCTCTCTTGATGCATAAAAGGAACAGATTATCATTGCAGACCAAGCTCCTTCTTCAGCTGCGCAAGTGTTGCTTCTATCTCATCGATGTTCTCTTCTATACTGTTCTTCCTGCTGTCCCCTCTTCCTCTCCCTTCCGACGAAACCCTCTCGCCTCCTCCTCCATCATCTTCTTCTTCTTCCTCCTCGTTTATGTTGAGTTCTTTTTCCAGAAACTCCACAAACTCTTCCCCGATTTCCTGTTTCGGGCAATGAGAAGAGGCAAGAATCAAGAATGGCTTAGTTCAGTTTAGACTTGACCCATCAAATATTAATTCGCAATTCCCAAAAAGTTGGGATCTTTTTTTCCATCTACAAGAAGAACGCATGTGAGTTTCTGCCCATATTCCTGAAGAAAGAGATGCAGTTTTCCACTTACCGCTAGTTCCTCCCAAAGGCTCTTAGGCTGTCCTTGCGAAGCAGCAGTGGCCTCCCAGTTCTTGAACTCTTCTTGAAGATCTCTGAAGAAATCCCCTGTCATGACCGGAACAGAGAGTTAAACAGATGATGCTGCAACGGTTCTTGCAGTAATCAGCGGCAGATACAGATGCGTGAAACAATCAAACAGCAATTAGAAGATTGATTTTTATATGTTGTCTCTACCGATTGTTATTTGAACATCCCTCACGAATTCACCTGCAGAATAAAGTGTGTTGTGCATAAGAAAAATACCGACCTCAACCTAAGTCTGGAAAGACGACAACATTTAGGAGCGAGAAACATTGAAACATTGCCCAGATCACAAATGATCCTAAACATCCAGAGTTCAAGAAATCGCTGTTCTTTCCTAAATTCAGAAAGAAATTCTAGCGGCTAAGACACACAAACCAAACAGGCATGAATCCATATTCTACACAACAGCTAGAGACAACCAAATGTTAACTCGATGATTTGCTCGCTAGAAACGGTTTCAATTTCCAACAGCATGATCTTTGATTAAACAACATTTCCTTGAAATTTTTGAGTCAGTGTGAATCAGTGTTTCCTCAGGGTTTAGAGCTTTACCAAGTCCATAGAAATCTTCCTCTTCTTTCACGTTACTTTCTCGGCTTCTTTGTCCAGTAGTGTACGAATAATCGGATGAGCGATTCTCTGATGCAAACTTACGTCGTGAGTCGGAGTTTATCAGTGTGGTGTATGCATGCTTTATTCTCAGAAACTTTTCCTGTGCATTAGCCTGCACATCAACAAGGCACGCATGATGGGTTTTCTTGGTTTAAGGAACTGTTAAGTCAATTAAATCAAAGTAAGCTCTGAGTAAAAAGAAGAGAAAAAACAAAAGCCATAGGTGTATGAACACATACATACAAGAGAAACACATACACCAAATCATACTCAAACATGTATTTGCATATACACAAACAGAAGGGGCTGCAATAGAATAGAACAGACACGGTTATGTATGGCATATGAGCATGTACACAAGACATGAGGGTTTGTACCTAAACAAGCATATACATCAAAGCATCTACACAGCGTCTCAATTCCATGGATTTCGTAATTAAATCAACTACAGAACACGGATTCGTTGATCTAAACTTAATGGGTTTTGAGTAAAAATTAAAAATTTATTTACAAAAAAAAGAAAGAAAAAGAAAGCAAAGATTTTCCCTGAAACAGCATGATTACCTCCTTATTGACATCTGGGTGATATTTCAGAGCAAGTTTCCTGTAAGCCTTCTTTATCTCCTGCGGAGTTGCAGAAGGAGAGACTCCCAGAACCTCGTATGGAGATTCTCTCCGGCTCGCTCTCGGTACGATGTGCCGATTTCTTTTCCTGCTGTCGGAATTCCGATAAACCGACCGGCGACGAGACACGAGGCGACCGAAACCACCACCGCCATAGACGCATCTGATTACCGCAAAACCCGGAAGATCTATCCAGTAAAGGAGAGATCTTGGAGGAAGATGAGGAGAAAGGAAGAGGCTTTGTGGTTTCGGAGACAATATCGATGATGCTCCATACATATTTCTCTGCTCATCCGATCTAATTTTTCAATTTCCAACAAATCGAAGGCGGTTTTGGTTGAGGCCCTCGTCCGGTTTAGCTTAACCGTAAAGTGCTTCCCGGTTCGGTATGATTCGAAATGAATATTATTTTATTTCATTACAAAGTATTCATTAAATATATCGATCGACAATATTTTATAAACTTAGAATTTCTTAGAAACCGTAACAATCTTGAACCACTGGCTGGTCGGGTCGCAAGAAACGTCCCCACTCAAGCACTTGCAGTCATTGCTAACAACGTTTTTCGAGCCGTCGATGTCAAGGCAAAGAGGAGCCGCGCTTTTTGTAGACAAGTGCATCCCGGAGTTGGAGATGGGTCCCCACTTCGAACCGGGGCTGGAACTAGGGGTGACCAATTCGGATTTCGGTTCGGATTCGGTTCGGTTATATTCGGGTTCGGTTATTTCGGTTATAGAAAAACTATAACCATTCGGTTTTTATATAAATTCCGGTTCGGTTCGGTTCGGTTATTTTTCGGTTCGGGTTCAGTTCGGTTTTGGTAAAAAGTTCAATTTTCCAAAGAAAATGTCGGTTATTCTCTCGGTTTTTTCGGTTATTTTTTATTCGGTTCGGTTCGGTTTCGGTTTCGGTTTTTCGGGTTTAAGTAAATCATAACCGTTCGGTTTTGATATCGGGTTCGGTTCGGATACGGTTATGTCTTATTCGGTTCGGTTCGGCTCGGTTATTCGGTTAATAACCGAAATGGCCACCCCTAGCTGGAACATTCCGTACTTAGTTTCACTCTCTATCCGGTCCCGTTGGCTTGTAAGCATAACGGCTGGCTTTGGAGTTTCAGACTTTGATGGTCATAGCTCCATGGCTCAGTTTGATATCGGCAATTCCCTAATGAGAGCAGTAGATCGTCCAGTAGGTTTCGCATCAAGCAGAGCCCGGTTTTCGGTTTGGGATCCCGGCCCTGCACATGATCACAAGAAAGAAGATCTAGAGATATCAACCAAGAAACCAGATGGTGAATATCAAAGATGAATCCTGCAGATACGGAAGCAATCAAAAGTTAGTTGCCTCTCAAGGCAGATTGGACAAAGGGTAATCTCTCCAATATAGGATTCCTCGCGTAAATCCAGTCCCGGGACAGAACACCGAAAGGCTCGTCAGCTCCCGGAGATCCTTCTCTCAGGTAATAGCTCCCAGCAAGGGTCCAGATAGACCAGTCTACATCATTTTCAGACAACCAACCCAACAGGCAATCGATGTAACGATCCTCTTTCACTCTGTCTGTTGTTTCATCGATCCCGAACTCGCTCACAAACAAGGGAAACCCTTTGTCCAGAAGGAAACTCGCCAGGCTCTTCACTTCGCCGAAAAAGTCTCCGCATACATCGTTTGCGTTACTTTCCGCCCAAAAAATCCCACGGGACGAACTGAACCAATGGAGCTCGAAGACGAGTTTTCCGGCAAACGATATGTTGACCGGTCGGTTTTCGACAAAGGAAAGGTCAGTGTCAAAGACTAAACCGGACATGATTACAAGAACATCAGGGTTTACTGAGTGAATTGCCTCTGCTCCTTGTTGCATGTACCTGTGCATTGTCCCATGCATGCCATGGAAACTGATAACTTTTATAAACCAAACACTCACACAACAAACACACTTTTACTCTCGTAAGAGGATTACAGAAAAAAAAGACTATTCTGCAATAATCTATAGAGCACCATGACACTTGCTTTTAAAGACACAATAATAACTTACAGCAGTTACCAAACAACCCACAAAAGTTTATCAACAAAAACTGTAATAAAACCACCGCAAACTGTTCATTCAACTTTCCACGTCATTTTTCTTCTGCACTAAGTGGGCTTGATCCATAGTTCCAACAGAAACAAATTATGGAATTTATGTTCGTTATATATATAATATATATGAGCTTGTATATATCTATAGTTGGACCTTGTATTGGATTGGTAGCAAATAATGGAGTATATATATAGGGAGACTACAAATACGTACGTGTACCAAAGGTTGTAGTTCGAGTTTGGTCCTCTGAGTTCGTTACGGAGACTCATTCCGACAACGTTAGTAACGCCGTTAAATACTCCGGCCATCTTTTTCCAGCCATTGATCCAAATCTCATGCTTGAAGAACCTGTCTCCGAAAAAGCCGTTACCGTCATTGGCGTGGACTCAACTAAGGGGATTCATCGTTCGATTCATCAGAAACGCCTGACATGAATTCAGTTGTGACTGCAATACCAGTATTAGTTGCAGGCGACAAGCAAAGTGGCAAAAGAACTTATCAAGAGAGAGCTGAAAGAAGCAGGAAGGCTCAAAATCTGATAGCGTTTGTCTCTCCGATCAAATCTTGCGAAAGGTGATTCAGGAGAAGCCTGCGTTCTTAATTTGAAGAGCATTAGAACGATTGTTTTTTAATAATCACTACCAAACATGATGTATCTGATGCAAAGGGTATCAGAATTCAAGATGGATGACTGAAAATCGATAGAAGAAAATTTGATGAATTTCAGAAGATTTTGTCAGATCTCCAAAGTCTGCAAATGAAAATTGAGGAATATCAAGTTGTGTACCTGCTGAACTCACTTCCACCTACTTATGACCAACTCCGAGAAGTACAATCAAGTACTCAAGAGCAATAATAACACCCGAAGAGGTCAAGGTAACAACGCATTCGAAAGAGATGGAACTGACCGCACAAGGAAAGATTAGAAAAGGATCAGGTGAAGGTCTCAACGTCAGCGGAAGGTCAAATTCCAGAGGTAAGTCTGGATCAAAAAGATCGAAATCTCGATCAAAATCAAGGACCAGTGAAGCAGAATGTTGGCACTGCAGAAAGAAGGGTAATTTCGCAAGGATTGTTATGCTAGAAAGAGAGAGCAAAACAATCAAGATTCAAGCAATGAAGAAGCAGATGTTGTGAAATGTATCAGATTTGAATCAGTGGTTCTGATAATTGATGATACAGAGGCACTCACAGCATCAACAAGAGACTGTGACAACGAATGGGTGCTCGACTCTGGATGTACATTTCATCTGTGCCCGAGAAAGAAATGGTTTCATGAATTATCAGAAAAGACAAATGGCGGGATTATGATGGAAAATCAATCAACCTATAAAATAGGAAACCAGGACCATCAAACTACAGACATTCAATGGCTCAAAGGTTATATTATCCGGAGTCAGGTATGTGCCTGAATTGCGAACAAATCTGACCAGTTTGGGTTCACTTGAGACTCAGGGTTGTTGGTACAAAAGTCAAGATGGTTATCTGAAGGTAACAAAGGGTGCATAACAGTACTAAAAGGTAAACTGAGAAATGGCATGTACATTTTGGATGGAAAAACCATTATAGGTGAAATACACAAGTCGCATGCAGTCCAAGACAAGACTAAAGTCTGGCACAACAGACTCGAGCACATATCACTGAAGAGTATGGAAATCTTGGCAAAGAAAGGACTTATAGACAATGCCAAAGTATCAAGTCTGAAATTCTGTGAACATTGTGTCTGTGGGAAATCCCATAGATTGGCATTTGGAACATGGCAACATACAACAAAAGGAATACTAGACTATGTGCACTCCGATCTCTAGGGGTCACACGCCACTATTCCATCCTTGTCAGGGCATCGATACTTCATGACCTTTGTAGACGATTTCTCCCGAAATGTTTGGATATATTTTCTGAGATCAAAGTACGAAATGTTCGAAAAATTTCTGGAATGGAAGACTATGGTAGAAAGACAATCACTACAAAAAAACAGTTATATAGCGACGAAATTTTCCGTCGCAATCCGTCACAAAATAAAATTAATTTACGCGCCCAAAATTCAAAAAATTTCGTCGAAAAACGAAACCAAATACATTGCGACGGAAAATTTTTATTTTCCGTCGCAAATCATCTATTTCTTTGTTGTGACAGAATTATCTGTCGCAAACCGTAGCAAATTGCGACGGATTTTGCGACTGTTTGCGACGGATAATTTTTTTCCACATTCTGTCGTAAAATCGTCAAATTCCGTCGCAATTTTCGGTGCGACGGAAATTTCCGTCGCAAATTCCGTCGCTATATGCAGGTTTTTTTGTAGTGAATCGGGAAGAAAACCGAAAAATTCTTAGGACAGATAACAGACTTGAATTAAATACTGAAATCGGAGATTTGAAGATCACTGTAAGGAACAGGGGATAATGAGGTATAAAAACTGTGCTTACACTCCGCAACAAAACGGAGTTACGGAACAGATGAATCACACAATCATGGAAAAGGTGCGATGTCTACTGTCAATCATGTTTATCTCAAGAGTTCTGAGCTCAAGCCGCCTTTGCTGGCATACACATTATTAACCGATCGCCATCCACATCTATAAACTTCAAAGTCCCAAATGAAATCTGGTAAGGAAAAGAAACAAGCTATCATCATCTCAGAAGATGTGGTTGTGTTGCATATGTGCATGAAGACCATGGGAAACTATTCATAGGTTACCCTGCAGGAACAAAGGGCTACAAGATCTGGATTTTCAACGAAGATAAAGTTGTCATCAGTAGACACGTAAAGTTTGATGAAGAAACTATCTACAAGGACCTGCAAACTCATAAAGAAAACGATCAAAGAACTGAAAAAGGTGTCGAGAAATCTGAACTGAAAGTCATACAACTTCCATTAATATCAGATGAGGTGACAACAGAAAAATTTGGAAGGCAAGGTGTAGCTACTGAACAATCTGTGCAAATGAATCCTCAGTACAGACTGAGAAGAACAAAACAACTACGGGGACAAGCTCGGGGACATTTGAAACATTAGATGGAAGCCCACCTGAAGAAATAATTCAGAAGCTTATTGACTATGTTCTTGGACGAGATAGAGCTAAGAGGGATATTAGGCATCCACTAAGGTATAGGAAGAACGAGACCGCAACTTTTGCCTTGTCTGTATCACAAACCATAGAGATAGAAGAACCACAATCATATAGAGAAGCTAAGACACACAAGAACTGGAAGCTATGGGAACACCCTACATAAGAACAAAACTTGGATTTTGACTGCTCGACTAAAAGACAAGAACGTTAAAGGTGTAAATGGGTTTACAAGCTTAAACCCGGATATGTACATAAGGTTTATTTGTCTCTTTGGCTCGATTGGATATGATTTAATATTTGATTAGATATATTAAAAATTATATAAAAATTAGTTCTTTACACAAGATAAGTTTTCTTAAATTCATTTTGATTTCTCTATACATGAAATTTTTGGTTCATATGATAAAAGGTTTTTGGTTCTAAAAATTTGAGGTGAATATTGTAGATATATTTATATATGTGAATATTCTTGTCTGAATTGTTTTTTTTTGTTTTTGTAAAAGGTGTATTATATTATATTGATTGATCCTAACAATAATATACAACGTGGAACAATGATAACAACACATTAAATTCTACGCGCTTGGAAAGGATTAGAGATTGAATAACTTTCGGTGTATTTTCTAACAAAAAATACGATGAGTATCGAAGATTTAGTTCGAAATTGTGATGGTCGCTATTGACCTTTTTCTCCCTATTGTGAGTATATGAATGGACGGCTAATGATAATGATACGTTTCATTTTTTATTAATGTTTCATTTTAATTCGGCTAGATATTGGGCGATACTTTTTTTTAAAAAAACAAATTCAAGTAAAGTATTTCATATAAAGACAAATGTAAAAGATATATAAGAACAATAAATTGAAGAATATATAGCCAAAGAAAATTAGGAAAAATATGAAGAGGGTGAAATATACACGATACATGTATAATCCACAACATTATGAATGGGAGCAAAATTTTATTATTTTAAAACAATATTGAAAGGATGAACATAAAAAAAAATATATCAAATAATACACATATAAGTCACGCTACACTGTTGTAACTTAACGGAGAGAATTATGAGTAATGCAAAAACACCCAAATTTACATAGATATTACATGTAATACCTAAATTATAACCCAGAAAACCAATCCAGAAAATCAAACAATTAAAACGAAGGTTTTTTTTTTACAAATGAATATTGCCCAATTTTATTTAAGATCGACATTTTCTCTCAAACAATATAAAAAAAATGCAAAACACGAGTTTTTTATAACTGATATTCTCGTAACTACATGAATTAATCCTCATCTTCCTGACTTGATCACCGTTGTTGGAACGGAGATGGATACTCCCATGAAAACATGGGGACTTCAATCAAAGGGCTTTCCTCGTTCACTGTCTCTAAAGGGGTTTCCATCTCTCCTGTCATGTGCTCCACCAACCGTGACAACCAGATTCCTTTTTCTTCAGACACAGCTATTCCTCCTCTGTTCGTGTCTTGCTGCTCAGTTTCGGCTTCACGAGGGATTGTGTCTAACTCACTTGGAGAAGCCGCAACCACAGTGTTTGAAGCATAAGGAACCAATGGTTGCTCCCCGGTCGAAGGCACTTCCGTGAAACCAGTAGCGTGAGGAACAAGCGACAGATTTTCTGTCCACAACATGCTTGGATCTTCAACCAGATATGACACGTCGGGATCTTGGATCTGAGATGGCATGTTCGGATGCTGGAT